TTTTGGAACACTAATCAAAATACAATATTCAGATTTATTTTTATGAAATATTATTTAATGTACTTTTGTAAGAAACAATATGTTCTTAAAAATTAACATTAGAAATGCTCTGATAAATAAAGCATTAACATAAGCTTACTGTATTAAATATTTCAAGAATAAAATACATTAAATAATGTTATGATGCGGAATAACAAAAAAAAAATAAAATGAAAATAAACTAAAACCTAAAAAATAATATAATTCGATCAGATAAAAAGATTGGATATTTTAGATACGATGAAAACGGAAAGCAATTTGTTTATGCCAACAAAGACATTTTTCCTAAGTTTTAAGTAAGTTTAAAAGGTTGTTTCAAAGAGGCTCAAAGTCCTGTATTTATTAGGTTTAATCTATTTTCTCTCTACCTCTACTAAATTATTTAATATTTTTTTCAGTATTTTCCTCCTTCTTTTAAGTATTAATAAATGATATATTTAATACTAAATATTTGAATAATTTAATCTAACAATTTATAATATTTTATGCACTTATATTTGAAGATAAGATACTATCAAGAAAGAATTTCTGACGAACAAAAAATTGACTCGAATTTTCAAAACACTGATAAAGAGACAGCTGCACTATTCGATTAAAACATTACATTACTCTGAAAATAAAAAGGTACATTCATATAATATTTAAATATGTTTAATTAAATAATAGTTATTGAAGTAAAGCATATAAATCACATAATTAACAAATAAAAAAATGAATTGTTTAATTATTATCGATTAACTTCCAATTATCAATTAACTTCCATCTGAGATAAATGTTTTTTCATCACAATTTAAATAAATCTCTTTTAATAATAGTATTTTTGAATTTTCAAAACTTTTTTTTAATGACTAAAAATAAAAGAAAAAAACAAAAATTAGTCTTTTTCAAATAAATAAATTAGTAATCGTAATTTAGAATAAAACGATGGTTAATATTATATACTTTACAATTTAATTTATAGCATTCCATTTAGGTTTTTATATATATAAAGTAATAATTCTTTAAAATTTACTGCTTGGTCGACAGCTGCGGGCTCTTACCAGAATATATTGACGAGAATAAAAGAAATTCTTTATTACAGTTTTATTGCAGGCATAAAAACTCTTCTCTTATTTGATAGTGATCCCTCGGTGATAAAATACAGGGGGTACAATAAGCTTTTTGTTTATATCCGTAACCGGAGTATTTTGGTTTGTACGTAATAATTGCAAGTCAAAGAGATAATCAATATGTAAAGTTGTATGAATATTTTAAATAACATATGATGAACGAACGCAGCTTAATTAATGAGTGAAGTGAACGTAATGTTTCAAAATAAAGTAAACCTCAGACAATAAAAAATGAAATTATCATAGTAGAAAATAAAGGATGGCAACAAGGTAATTTTATTCATAGGAAACTTATTATTTAGTTTTAAAAAAAATATATCATTATTAAAATCATGAGAAAGTGATATAAAATTATTGATAAATTAAAAAAAAAAAAGTAATTTTGTGAATGAAACGATTTTATAAGGAGAGGGGAGAATAATTTTATAAGGAGATACTACAATAAAAATGTAAAAATTAAAATAGTTTGTAGTAGGATTGACAATAATCTTATTTTATAAAAAGAAATTATTAGTATTTAATTATAATTATAATAATTATTATTACTGAATATAATTATTAATATTTATTTTTCTACTCTGAACAAATTACATAATGGGATTTCCTCCAAATGTATATTATATAAATAAGTTTTTAATGACCTTGTAATAATTAGATATGGATTAAAATAACTCAGAAACTAAAAATTGGCCATGCATACTGTAAGCGAGGGAAATGTTCAGCATTTCATACTCTTTAAAATGAGCTATTATTTATAATGTACATTTCATATTATTAATCCAGCCTTTTTGATGTTTTCAATTCTAACTTGTGACCTAAGCACACACGTTAGGTTTTTTTCCTACTTACAATATATTAAAAAAAAAAAGCAATCTGAACTACAGAATATATGTAAATTAAAGTTATAAAATTTGAGCAACGAGTAGTACAATCAAATTAAAAGTTGTATAATTTGAAAAACGAGGGACAGTGTGTAACCTCCCCCCCCCAAGTAGCATATTAAAAAAAATTAAATAAAAAATGCATATCTATTTATCCTCCGGTAGTATCCAAACAGTATTTTTTTTTTTTTTTTTTTTTGAGTTTCTGCTCTCATTAACTAAAAAAAGTTAAATAAAAATAAAAAAAAAATACAAGTTTTAATCAATAGTAAGATCTAAGACTACAAAATTTAATTAGGACAACAAACCTATCTCTACGCCTAAAGCTTCTAGTCTATACAAGTATAATATATAAGGCCGGCTCTGTTGTATGGTACACCTCTGTTTGATCATGTCAGCAAAACAACTGGGAAAAGATCAGAATATTTCCAAAATGGAATAATCCGAAAAATAGTAAGAGGAACCACGATGCAGAAAATGAAGAAGTTGGATATAAAAGCAACACTAAATTTATCAACAATAAAAGAATTTCTCGCAAAACGAAAAAAAAAAAAATCATTTTTCGAAAAGTTTCCACAATTGGCAAACCCTCTTTTCAACAACTTAGTACCGGCCAAAATTCCAAAACGTTGGCAACAACTCATATAAGATAGATGTTTTATTAATTTAGTTGTAAGCTCTAGAGGATAAGGTCAACTCAAGCCTGAGGTGAGACCCATCACATTTTATATTACAGATCTAGAAAAAAATACTCAGAAACGACAAAAAAAAAAAAAAAAAAAAATCAAAAATACACCTTACAATGCTTTTAAGCAGTGAAAGGACTATTATGAAGACAATGAAAATCCAAGGATTCAAGACAAAAATAAATAAAAAGGGGCTAAGAAAGAAAATAAATCAATAGTTTTGAGCACTGATAGATAATGAGTATGAATAGTTTCAACCAGTAATAGAAGTAAATGGTTAAAATGTTGTTAACCAATAATGTGTTTTCCATGTAACAAACGTGTTCCTAAATAATGGAAACGAGAATTTCTCTCATAAAAAAAAAATTATAATAATAATGTAAGTGATGTTCTAAATAAAAAAAGTAGATATTTATTGATTTAATCAATCTTCCTATGTGATTTGGTTTGCAGAATAATTAGGATGAAGTCCAACATAGCAGATACGAATTCAATGATTGCCGTGGAAGTTGAAGCTTTTTAAATCGAGCTCTAATTCTAAACGTGGACAAAGTGATAGGGCAGCTAAGCTGCTTTGGTTTACTCCGACCAGGTTCCGGCTTTTGATAAACATCTGCCTTTCCTATAGGTGGAGGAATAAAAACCCAAAAAAGCCTGAAATAACCTGCTAAACCAAAACATATATAACACCACATTCATGCAAATAGGAGAGGGTCCTAAGTCCATGAATTCAATTAAATGTTAAAACGAAACGAATACATATAATTGAACGCTCCCAGAAATTCATTGAGGTCTTTAATCAACTAGAACTGCTATTATAAATCGAAACGATGATAAGTAATTAAAATCAGAATTGATAAAAATCATATTAAAGGCTTAGTAAACTCGAATGTATAACTGAGTTGTAACGAGTACGATAGAATATAATCGAAAATATAAAACATACATGGTAGTGCATTTATCAAATTGTAATGATATTTGATGAAAATCCATTCATTGAATATAGATATATATAATTTGTACCAAATAATTAGAACGATCGTGCAAATAACACGATATAGATTACAGTTATCCAAACAAATTATAATAAAACATGTATGCACGTATACAAATATAACGGAGGAATGCTTAAGAATATATAAATATATATAAATGTTCCATTGCATTAATATTTTCCGGAGCAAAGATGAGATGGAAGGATGGTTTTGGGTTTGAGGGGAGAGATGGGGGGTGGGGAGGGGGTGCTTAACTGAATGGGCTATTCATCAAGGATTCCGCCTGCTCAACCTTTCCTCTGGCTAAACGTTTATATACAAGAATTACCATCTTATTTGATAACTCCTCTAGGTAAGTTTATAAATTAAATTATGTGAAAGTTTTCATAAACCAAAAGGAATATAAAAATTAATCAATGTTATGTACTTAAAATAATTAAATAATTATTTAAATATATTGAATTGAATTGGAACATTAAAGCAATAAAATACGGTGAATAAATTAGGAATAGGGTAGAACAATGAGTAAGACACTGTGGTCCTACTCTTACAAGAATTAAGGACCGAGAACGGCTGTGGAAGATATGTATTTTTTTATTCTATTTAATCATCCTTAAATCGACTCTGCGTTGTAAGAACCTTTCTGAGAAGACCAAGACTCTATAAAGTGGGTATTATTAATTAATTAGTGTAATATTAATTAATTAATAGCCCGATAAACACCTTTCACAACCGTTGGTCAAACAACAACACTTCTTTACAAATTTCTAAATCCAAGATACTTCAAAGGTCGTAGCGGTACAGGATTTTTTAAAATTTTAATAATCAAAGTGACGATCATATTTTGGGAGAAATGAGACATCTTGAAACCAAATATTTATAATTGAATCATTGATGACAATTTCTTTGAGAAAGAAATATTTCATTATAAACAAACATGAAAAGGAGTGATGTTATAAATTATAATAAACAAAAATATTATTGGAGTGATCATATTAGGAAAAATATATTTATAGTTAAATTAAAAAAAAAATTATCAATACTTATTAATTAAAATAATTTTATAGAAGAGTCTTTGGAAGTCTCAAGGATCTTAAAATTCATAACATGGTGGACTTTATCTCAGTGTTTTGAGAAATTAATTAAATATATATATATATATATATATATAAATATTATATATATATATTACATTATATATACACACACAATTTCTATGTATGTATGTATAATTTGAATCGGTTACTGAAGAGATATCAATGATATAATTATAATAATTTCCAAATTTACCTGTTTTTCTGTAATAAGTTTCTCATGATGATGGGCATTAGGCCGAAGAGATCTTTTAGCCACCTTGCGATGTTCAAGATGGTACAGGTCAGGGAAAATCTAAAAACAGAGAAGATAATAATATAATAATAATTTGTAATATTAACAATTCGAATAATAATAATTGATCGGAAACATGATATTCTAAAAATAGTATGTTATGGTTATATTGAAAAATATTTGCATTGTTCTTCTAAAATATATATTATATTTAATCTATAAATGATCACGTATTTATCAAAACCTCTTTTTAATCTCACAGCCTTTTATATTACATTTAAAAGTTATTATTTAACATTTCGGCGCCAAGATATATTTTTTAAAATTGTTTATTCTCTTTTAAAAACAAAACATTAGTTCTATAAAAAACATTTTTTCTAAAAATAATTTTCTTAAAATATATATGTATACAGAATATTACTCAATGGTAGTAATTTTTTTATCAAATATATAATGTTTTTTTTTTCATTTCTTTTCCTTTAAAACTCCATGAAAATTCTTTTTTTCTCATTTTATCAAAACATTCATCTTTAATTTTCATCCCTTTAATCACCATATTATCTTTACTGAGTGGAAGGTTGGATTGACTCACCAACGAACGAAGAGAAGAAAGGAATTTTTGTGAAGTTGTGGAATGAATATTCTATTAATTCAGAAGGAGATTAATTAACTGCTTTGTAAGATGCATCATTTCAGTTTCTAAGACGCTTTAATAATTATTATTAGTGTATAATCTCTTGTTGTCCTATGATAACACTAATATATTTTTAATCTTTAATACCCAAAGAAACTATCTTTATTGATTTTTTATATGGCTGAAGCGCTCTCGCTCAAACTCCACTGGCTTTAGCAACAGTGACGCGGTTGAGAGAGTAACGCATGGATCTCTTAGAGTCCTGCTTTCCCTTCTATAATTCCTATAATTCAATAAAGAACTATAATAACTATAATTCCAGGGAGAAGCCTGGCTTTGGGTTTCCTGCCTGATTGTATATATTGTATATAGGTATGTTTTTTATTTACTTATCTTTAGATTATTTTGTTTTTTTATTGTAAATAATTATTTTTGTTATTATTTAGTTATTATTTTACTTTTTGTTAATTTTATATATTCTATATATATGGTTTGAATGTGTTCATTTATTACTATAATTATTGTCCACGATACCGAATATTATATATCTAAATAAATAAATTTAAAAACAATAGATATTCTAATATTCTTGTTATTATTCTCAACCTGTAACAGAATATTAATTTTATTTATAAGATTTTATACTGTTGATTTGTAAAGCATCTTTCATAGAACTGTTATCTATTTTTTTTATGAGACATTTCTTTTTTTCAATTAACTATTAAACGTTGTTCATACAAATCAAATATCGAATGACAACATTTTGAAACTATCTTGAAATTATCATTAAAATAAAAAAATATTTTTCTTTTACGCCTGGAAACCTGAAAACAATAAAAAAAAAAAAAAAAAAACTTATCACAGTAGGATTCGCATCTTTCATTAAAAGCTGTCGGTATTGAAAAAGTGAGAACTTTTCCCCCCAGCTTTAGCGGACTATAAAAATGAAGTTTTCAGCTCTGTCCTCTAATTAAAAAAAAAAGGAAAAACTTTTTTCAACAGGAATAAATGAATACAGGAAGGGGAAGGAGAGGGAAAAAAGTAAAGAAAATTTTTAAGTATGAAAAATATAAAACTGTTAAGTCCTCCAGGAGAGAAAAAAAGTTCAAGCGCTAAGTGCATGATTAGGTAGAGCCTATTTTTGAAAGGTGCTCAAGCAAAAACGTGAACTGGTTAGTGATTAACCACCAGATTTTTACCACTTCAATGAAGGACCAGGTACTCACTTTACAGAGGATTTTCAGGTCCCATTTGAGAATGAAATATCAAAATCATAATTTTGAACTATAATCAAAATGATACACTACAGTTAGAAGTCAAATATATAATAAATAATTACCTATAAGCCGAATAAAAGAAACAAATACATCATAATTACTAATAACGACAAATTACTAGTTTTTCATGTTCAGATAAAATGAGCTGTGTAATAATAAAAATAAAAAATAATCTAAGGTGATTTTTTTAAATTAACTAATGTTATCTATAGGATCGTTAAAAAAAATCTGGTGCGCGCAACCTACTACTTTCACTTACCTCTCTACTTTGAATAGAAATTATTTTCTGGCAATGTTGAGCAATTATAAAATTTTTGAAGTGCACTTTTAACGGAGCTATAGCTTAAAGCTTAGAGCAAACAAATCATTCAGACCACTAAAATAACAAAAACCATATTAATTATATCAACGGTAGACCATAAAAACCTCGGTACTCCATTTGTTTTTGTAGAGCACATATCTGCAGTCTCTGAACTATTTATATATATATGCCTAAAGATATTTGAAAGTATATTAAACCTATAAATGATTATGGATTGTACGCCTATTAGATATTAAACTGTTATTTTCCATTATAAAATTTACTATAATGAAATTACGAGATTACCGGCCACATTTTATGTGAATGTTTGGATTTCAAAAATCGTCAAATTTTGCACATATTTAATGTTCTAAAAAGTTACATGACGATGTACTTAAGGTTATAAAATATGTTTTATACATACATTAAATATTTTTATATTTCACTTTTTCTTTCACATAATTACTATAAAATATTTTTTTTAAACAATGTCATTACATTGATTAGGCGGATTTTAAATATTTTTTCAAACTTAAAAAAAGTTTACATTTAGCTAGTACAATGAGCATTAATTGCGTAAATATAGATTTACCAGAGAACTATAACATCAATTAAACTTTAACATCTACAACTCATGAACGTCATACAGTGAAATTGGGAGCATTTTTAAATCCTACAGAACGAAAACAGCTAAAACTCCGGTATATCTCTTTTAATCGATGTCTAGGATAGTTTTAGAAGATGTTCCAGTAATTTAATTTTTCAGATTAAATTTAACGCGGCAAACGACTATTAACTCCCTGTTGGTACATTCATTCTGAAAATGACCCAAAAGTAATTGCAAAGAGAAGATGGGAAAATAAATCAGTATGATATTAGTCGTCGAAATCAGTGTGCCCTTCCTTGGTAAAGAAAAAAATCCTCCTTCCGTAAAATTTGAATATTTTACTGCAGCCAACTTCCCCTCTTCTTCCAGAATCAGAGCCCATCTGCAGAAGACATTTTTATCATAACTGCCCTAGCCCGTTGGTTTATGGAGTCATTATCTCTTGAATTGCTAATTAGAACCGTTAAGAAATTATTCGCAAAGGATTAAAACCAAGCTAGTATAATTTACAGTGATTCGCTTTGAAAAGAGGTATTATCTATATTTAGCTATTTTTTTTTCGAATTCACACTAATGCAGTAGTTTGTGTTTTTATTTAAATATTTAAAAAAAAAATGAACTACAGAGAAAACTTATATGGAAAATCCTTATCTAATTCAACGATAAAAACAAAAATCATCGTAAATACCAACTAAGTTCCTTTTTATGCCAAGAATGGAACGGTTGGACAATTATATCCCCGATACAGCGAATTCTCCTCCATCCTATCTCCTCCCCCCAACTAGATAACAATCGTTTTACATTGAGCTCCAAATCCACACAAACAAGCCCAGTGGCCCGTGTACGTTTTCCAACTAATGCTCAATAAGTTTCAAAGCATCTTCTAACAATGAGTCATCATTTGGGATTTTAATAATAGAAATTTATTGTAGTCATTGTATCGTATCATTGGAAATATATTTTGTATTATAGAATAGAATAGAAAATAATTTTAATCTGGGACGAAGTCCCTTCAGAATAACAAAAAACAACAAAATTAAAATGTTATATCTGGCCAAATAAAAACAAACATAAAAAGTAAAGATAAAGATAAATCAGTAAACAAAATATTAGTTATATATACTATATACAAAATAAAAAATAAAAAAATCTATATAAAAAAATTTTGAAACCTTGCCAAGACACTTAAAACTATGTTCAGTGGTAAAATATAAATATACACTTTTAGAAAAAATAAAAAATACAGAAAAAAATAAATGTAAATTCTTCTTAGCAGTAAACTCTGTGTTTCTGTTGCAAAAAAAAAAAAAAAGTCAAATCTATCATAAGTATTTAAGTTATGAGCTATATGTGAATACATTATTATGAATAATATGTAATTTTACATAAAAGGTTACTCAGATACCAGGACTCTTTTTGGGACAGGAATATAGGAGGGCTTCGAATGTAGATAGGGATGAAGAATGCCGAATTTTGATAGAAAGGCAATTCCAAAAATGAACAGAGCGAGCAATAAAGGAGTTTTGGAACGAGGCAGATCTGTGAGAAGGAATGTAAAGGTCGAGATCTTGCGGAAAGGGAGTAGGCTGAGGACTTGATAATAAAATAAATATAAGTAATCTTCTTATACAATTTCACATGTGTACACACCTACGTATAATATTTACATATACCAAAGGAACTTCGAGCCATACTTTGTCCTATACATGTGAAAAACGAAGTGCTTAAAAAAATTACTGGGATAATTATTGAAAAGAATTTTGTTGAGGTATCGAAAAGAAAGCATTGCCTTGAAAATTTTTAACAAAGATGCATGAGTCAACTGGAGCATTTAGAGGGTTACAAAACGACGAATTGCGTGAATTGTATTGGTGCGCAATAATGAAGATGAAAAATTGTAGAGCTTAGTAAAGAAAAATTCTTTATCATATAAGCCCCGTGTAGACTAGTAAACGTCTGAGGGATATTCCGAAGCGAAGGCGGGATGATTGGGTTAATCTGGCGGATAGAAGTGATCGTTGGATGGAAGTGATAAGACAGCGATCGGTGGTATCAGCATAGAACCTCCTGGTTAACTAAGGCTTTATTGTTTTTTCTTATTACTTTCTCTAAAGACATTTTAGTATTTTTTGCCATTATAAAGCTATCGAAGAATTTTAATATAAATGACAACATATTAATCTTTTATTAATAGATTATTATTAATAGATTATTAATGCCGGGTTCATAATCAAAATTAAAATCCGTCACGATTAATTCAG